GGATAGGGTCCTTCTTTTCATCTTTCATTTTTGAGCCTAAGGATATGAAAGAAAAAAAAAACCCCACCAGTTCAATCTGTAGGAGTTATTTACAGTGCTTGGCTAATTTGAAGACTGGCAAGCTTAGATTGCACCCAGCGATTTGGAATTCTCATTTCAAGAGGAGTTTAAAACAGAAATTTCAAGACATTGCCATTCATTGCTCACTGGCATTCTATTCTGAAGTATCCAAAGGGTTTATTTTTCTCTTGTCTCTAAGTTCTTTGCACAATACTTTCTTTATCTTCCTTCATGTTTTTATGATGTCAGTTTGTGAATGGAGCTATCATTGTGAGTGACGAGCTGCCTAGCTATCCGGGGAGAACTGAGAAATTGCACAGCTTCGACAAAGAGGCAGTTTTCCAACTTTTGCTAAAGGGGAAAAAAAATCACATGTCTGTATGAAATAGACAATGCACATGTAGGTTCAAGAAAAGAAACCTTTATTATGCAAGAGATGAAACATAGTTTTTATTAAGAATGGTTGTTATTGGTTTGAGGCAGCATTGCACGCTGGTGTGTGGGTTTTAATATGCCATTTGTCTTTCCAACATCTACTGCCATTTAAAATGTCACCAGTTTTTCCCAGTGGTGAAGTAAAACCATGGGAATGGCATTCAAACCACTTCACAGAGTACAAGCCAATTTTAACAAATTCATAATTAAAACCTAGCCAAATCTCTCCTCGTACTGCCAAAGTCCTTCCTGTGTATTTTCCAATTAAATATCCTTTCTGTAAGGAAGCAGGCTTCCAGACATGCCAAAGCTGAATCACTAATATCTTCATAACGATGAGACCTTTCTGTTCTCATATCATTGTTAAATACCTTAATCCCACTGGCTTTCACAAACATTTTGAGAAGTAATGAATCCTTTCATTCATTTAGTAGATATTTATTGTACACCTACTACATACCCAAAACTGTGCTAGACCCTGGAGATGTATCACTGGACAAAACAATGTCTTTTCAGCCATGGTGGTGCCATTATAGCAGGGAAAGCAAACAGTAAGTAAGCCCATAGATAAGTACACAGGCAATATAATATTATGTTGATAAATGTTGTGAAGAAAAATAATGTAGGGAAGGGGAGAAACAGTGATAGGGTATGCTACTTTACTTAGAATGGCTAAGAAAGTCCCCACTTGAAGAAGAGACATTTAAATACAGATGCGAACAGGGGCAGAACTTTCCAGGAAGGAAAAAAGCAAATGCACAGGCCAGATGTAGACTCACCTTTAAACTAATAAAGCAGGAGCGTCAAGGCCTCTCACTTAATCAGACTCCTACCAAGACTCCCGGAAGGGCCTCATTCTTGAGTTCACATGGTTAAGTATTTTTTGTAAAATTTGCACCATCAGGAATATTAACCACAATTGGTTATGTTTTCTGCTTCTTTCCACTTCTACTTCTATCTCCATCACACTTTCCTCCTTCCTGTCAGGTAGTGATGGAGTGGTCAGTGGCCTTGTCAGGATCATGTGGAGACTCATTTAGTTTGGATTTAGTGGTATATATTTAAGTGGTTTGCATTTACTCTTTACTTAAGCTATTGCTGGCTTTCTGGTGTAGGAATCCAAGTGTATTCCTACCATCTTCCGTGCCAACACACAACAGACAGTTAATTAATAAAAATATTATGCTATGGTGTCTGTCATCTTATTCAAATTTATAAATTTGCTGTGATTTGTTTTCTTATCCTAAGTAAATACTCATGTTTATATTT